CACTAGCCCTGGCTGCTTGCTCCTGTTCAGCAAGAGCCTCCCTATGGAAGCTGCCTGGGTGATTTTGTACCAGCCCCAGACTTTCTGCCTAACCTACCTTGCAGGGTTGCTGTACAGATCACAAAGTGGAAGAGGAGAATGAAGTAAACTGCTTTGCTCCCCACTAACGAGAAAGACAGAACTTTGCCTAGGAAGAGGCTGCTGAGAGGGGAGGAGATAAATTTGCCAACTTTAGGTATGGAAATTCCTGGAGATTTGAGGGGTGGAGCCTGGAGAGAGTGGGGTTTGAGAAGGGATATGACCTCAGACAGGTACAATGCCATAGATTCCATCCTCCAAACCAGCCATTTCCTCCTGGGGAACCGTTGTTGCCAATCTCCAGGGGAGGGCTGGAGATCACTCAGAATTACAATTGCTCTTCAGATGGTAGAGATCAATCCCCCTGGAGAAAACAGTAAGCTCTGTGTCATTATACCCTGCTGAGGTCACCACAGAAAATTGACGCTGAGTGCCCAAGGCCAGGGCACCCGCCCAGAGCCTCTTTCTAGAGCTCATTGTATTTATTTCTACGATGGGCCTTATTCTTTGTAGTATAATAATTTAAATTGATTTAATTAATTAATATTAAAAGTATCTTAAATTAAAATAACATTATTAGGCCATAACAGTTCTCAATTCATAATAATTCATGGATCCTTTATTCAGATAAAATCTGCCAGTGTTCCACAAGTAGGATTGAGGAGACTATAGTTCATATTGTATTTGATTGCCCCCTGAGAACAGAAGCTAGGAATAAATTCTTCTTGCCCCTTTTTTCATCTATTTCTGATGCTTGTGTGACTGTTGAATCTAAGATTATCTGTCTTTTCAGATTTTGATGCTGATGTTACTTTTCAAGTGGTGAGGTTTTTTGCAACTTTGTTCTGATACGGTTGCTCTGTTTTAGCCCACGTGGCTTCTTAACAGAAGGAAGGAAAGGAAAGGAATTCTAGTTAGTGTTACAACCATACAACACACAAGAGTGGGAACCATGGGGGAAACATATAGAAAATGCACTTTCCTCTGGCCCTAAGGCCATCACATTTCTGTATTTAACAAATTGTCAGTATTGGGATAGGCAATTGTTCCTAAGTGGTATGGGGGATTCATTGTCATTACTTTACAGCAATAATAATCTCATGAGTTTATTCTTAGATTATGTAACAACTGATTGATTTGTTGATCTTAAGCATTTTTTTTTGAAAATAACTATGCCTCCTTTACTGAGTACCTGTTCAAGGCGGCTAGTATAGAGTCAGTTCATTGTTGCCTTACCTACAAGTTAGCTATGCGCTAAATGTCTTTACACAGTTCTCTGCTTCAGTCGGCATAATTGGAATAGTGACAAACCCTACGGAGAGTGGTGATTGGTTGAGTTAACCGTGGCCACTTCTACACTGTCATTTTTGTCACTTGTTTGTCTCCATTGCTTCAGGGTCCCCCCCCCATATGTTTTGCTCTCTCTAGTAGTCCCAGAGGGAACAAAACATATGTGGAAAATGGGGGCAGGAACCCAAAGCAATAGGGACAAAAGAGTGAGAAAAATGACAGTGCAGAAGTGGCCCATGTGTCACAATGCTGCTTGATTACTTGAACTACTGATAGCCCACACTATGATTGCAAGAGTCATTCCAAAGATAAATTATGAGAGCACTTTCTTAAAATGCACTGTTATGTTTATATGAACATTTCTGTACTATCTTTGATGGAATTTCAAAGATATGTTTCTATTTTTTTATGCAGCAAAGAAGTTATCTTAGTTGTAACTGAATAACTAAGCACATTCTAAACTAGATCACTGTGTATATATGTGATGTGCATGTCTATATAAAATAAATGCAAATATTAAACCTCTCTAACTGGAAATATGGAGTTTCCCTGAGTCTGAAGGATAAAGTAAACTGTACATGTAAGTAATGAAAAAATGGTTATGATTGCAATAACATTTGCACCTCATTTTTATATTCAGAGTTCTTAATTTAGATACTGAAGTGATGATGGCACAGAAGAAAAACTAGTTAGCTTACAGTCTCACAAATCAAAACTAAAACAAATTAAAACTCAACCAACTTTAAGCATTCTTAGATCATGTCCAGCATAGACTAATTTGGGATTACAACTTGGAAAACACAGTAGTGGTGTGCTACAATGTTTTCTTTTATAAAGAAAAACATAACTGAAACTCTCTTTTTAGGTTAAATGACAGTGAAATGGAAAGGCATCATTTTAAAGATCCAGATTTGTATTCTGATAAATCAGATAAGGAAAATGATCATGATCGTGATGAGTCAGACAATGATGGCTTGGGGGAAAGTGACTCTGACACTTCAGAACGACAGGATGACTCATACATTGACCCGGAACCTGATCATGTCAAGGAAACAACTTATTTGGAAGAGGCTCATGAAGAACTTGGGGAGGTAAAAAAATATTATACAATTGCTACCTTATTACTAAATAATATTTTATTAGTATTGAAAGGGGAAAGAAAGTTTATTGGAGAGCAGCTTTTGTAGAGCTTGATAAATACTTAAATTGAAGAACTTTCTCTCCCCCCCCCCATGACTCCATATTCTTTTTTACTGTTTCTATAGATATAGGTCAACTTTGAAGCATTAATAAAATGATTTAGTGCACGCATAAAGGGGTGCAATAAAAACAGATATATTTTAGTACCTAGCTGTGGCTGTCTAAAACTGATATAAAGCTTTAAAAGCTTGACTAAAGTCATAGTGCTAACAGCCAAATCTGATATGGAGTCATTGATCTGAGCTGATAAGGGTAACAGACACTAACCTGTAATTTCATTTAAGTATTATCAAGGTCAGTGATCAGTGCCAAACCAAAAGTTCTGGTTCTCATACTTGAGCTAGAATCTGTACTTACAGCAAGCCACTTCCAGCCCTCTAATCTGGCTTAAAAATAATTACTATTTATATACACCAGTGTTTTGTTGTTGTTGTTCGTGGTGTGTGTGTGTGAACTGCTTCATATATTTTGCCTTGGCTTTAATCAGAGTTGTATAGCAAAACAGGTTTATTAGACTCTGGGGTATATTCACTCCCAGGGGCTCTTAACTTTCAAAACAGAATTGTCACCTGTCAACCATTCTCAAGGTCTTATGTTTTTAAAAAATTCTGTAGTAGGGACTCAGGAAACAAATTGAACAGTTTCTGTTTAGAACACCAAAGCTCAGTTCAGACATAAAACAAAGCTATTGCTTGTTTTAACTCAGGGGTGTCAAACATAAGGCCCTGAGGGCCAGAACCAGCCCATACAGGGCTGTTAGGTGGCCCGTGAGCAACTGGTGCAAGGGAGGGAACAGGAGGCTGCTCAGGGGTGGACGGTGGGTGGAGCTGCTCCAGTTGTGGCTTCAGCACAGTGGGACAACCTCATTTGCAGCAGTCAAGCAGAACCCCTTCATTTTAGGGACTGATAAGTTGGGAGTCACTGCAGCCCCATTCACACCTCTCCATTTGGCTTGCAGCTCTGGGGATGCTCTCCCAGATGGCCGCAGGGATCAGCATTTGCATGGGGGGGAGGGGCTCAGACAGTACTCTGTTGGGGCATGGGAGCGTCTGCCCAGCATTGCACTCCTGGCTTTCCAGTCCACCCAAATGGATTTTCCTCTGCACCCCCCTCCCAGCCCATGGTGCCTTGCAGTGAGGACACACCAACTTGAAGCTTACCAGTTGCTGTCCTTTATAAAGTTTATATCTCCAGTACCCAGCATTATGTTTTATGGCACACATGGCCTGGCACAACAAAGTCACATTTATGCCAGATCTGTAGGGTTGCCAACCTCCAGGTAGCACCTGGAGATCTCCTGCTATCATAATTACGTTCCAGATGGCCAAGTTCAGTTCCCCTGGAGAAAATGGCTGCTTTGGAGGGTGGAGTCTATGGTATTATACCCTGTTGAGGTCCCTCTCCTCCCCCAAACCCACCCTCCCCAGGATCCACCTCCCAAATCTCCAGGTATTTCCCAACCCAGAGCTGGCAACCCTACAGATCCGGCCCTCATAACAAATGAATTCGACACCTGTTGTCTGTGTGTGAAACCAGAATTCAGCTTAGATACAATAGTTCAAATCCTGGTTTGCATCAACAAATGCTGGTTTCATCGCCTTCTCTCTTTTCTTTTCCTTCCCTGCATTAACCCAACTGGTATCCTAGATTGCTTTGTTTTGCAGCAAGGGCAGTTCCAGGAAGAAGGCCAAGATTAAGTCAGGAATGTCTGTAGAGATACATATATCTAACTGTTATTAGTATAATAACATCAAACCATGGCTACCTATCCTGGTTTGGTGTACCCTAGCTTAACCATAGTTAGCGGATTGGCCCCCACATCTGGACAGTCAGTGTGACACCTGAACATTCGTATGGCACCTGAACTGAAACTAAGCCTGCCCCAGCTGGCATGCTTCTTTCTGTAACATAGTCTGAGGGTCCATTTAATAGGTGGGTACAATAAATATACTGAAAACATAGCTTCATTGTCAAAGGAAGCAAAACCTCTGAGCTCCTTTGATGCAGGATGAAGGAATTAACTGCAATGATAGTGTGTAGGTAGAAGCAGTGTATTGAACCACTGTGCCCCCAAATATTGTGCAAGTATGTGCTTAGTCAGTACCCTATTCTACTTTTATTCATTTGTTGAAGGCAGGGGAAGCATCTCAAACTGAAACTGTATCAGAAGAGAACAAGAGTTTGATCTGGACATTACTAAAGCAAGTACGTCCAGGAATGGACCTCTCCAAGGTGGTGCTACCTACATTTATTTTGGAAACACGTTCTTTCTTGGACAAACTCTCTGACTATTACTATCATGCAGACTTCTTATCTGAGTGAGTTGATCATTCTTTATCTCAGCATTTTCTTTGAAATGATTGTTGCAGGCTTTGGGGGAAAGTTACTTTAAAAGTTTGTGTAATACAGTTGTCTCCTGATGTAAGAACTTTCTTTCAAATTGCAAAAGGCAACTGGTTTCCTCTCCCTCTTTACCATGTATGTTTTCCTTCTGCAAGACCAATAGTGGCTTTATAGCTGTGTTTCTGACTTTAAATCATGAAATCAGCATGAGGCAGAAAGGTTAAACATTACCTCCCCCCTGCCATTTTCTCAGCATGGTTAAAAATGAGAGATCTCCCACATCTTATTTTAGTCTGGCACAAATGTCAGTATTTTTAAGCCTAGAGTTATGTTTCTTGGGCATTTCCAACAATGTTTAAGAACTGGCTGGAAGATCAAGCAATTTGGTATGCTATATGGGTTAAAAGGCTAGTTGCAGCCATTTTCTCAAATTTGTGTGACAGATCTGATGGATCTTTTTTTCTAGGGCTGCCCTTGAAGAGAATGCTTACAAACGTATGAAGCAAGTTGTGAAATGGTATTTGTCAGGATTCTACAAGAAGCCAAAGGTAATACTTGGTGCACTGTTTTGTGGTAGCCTTTTGCTTAACTAAAGACAGTTTTCGTTTATTATTAAAATGAAAACTGAAGCATCCTACTTCATCCTAAGAGGTAATGTTGCTGTAGACCCTTCATTGCAGATTCTTAGAATTTTTTTGCACTTGCTTTAGGGAACTGGAATATATATTTTTACTGATTAAAATGTTTCTTTTTTTAAAGGGACTAAAAAAACCCTATAATCCTATACTTGGTGAGACCTTCCGTTGTTTGTGGATTCATCCAAGGACCAATAGCAAGACTTTTTATATTGCTGAACAGGTATTACTAAAGAGGTGGCTTAAATCTTTTCTTTAAAGGAGTGCTGTTGTTAATTTTGGATCACCAAATGGATAAAGATACTCAGAGAAAAGTGCATAACAATATAACATTTCCAGTATAGCAGAGTGTTTTATTTCATATTTTTTTCCCCTTATCCATTGTTATGGGTTTCAGGTAGGATTATAGTAATCATTATTTTAGGTTTGAAAATCTTATGCTGCAGGAAACATCAAAGGAGTGTAAAGTCACAATCTCCAAAATCTCCTCTGATTGCACTGTTATGAGCAACGTGGGCACTGAAATGCCACACTTCATCTTGCATTGTATTTCTCAAAAAAGATCATTCTGATCTATGTAGGTGCAACAAGCATATCCTGTTATAGCCAAAGTCTGCAAGTCCAGACTGTGGTTGAAAGTGTTTTCTCTGAAGCATTAATTCAGAGTTTAAGCCTAATCTCATTAAAATATTGAAATGCATTGGGGAATAGACATGTTTAAATGGAGCTTTGAAGCTGACAAGCTCAAATGTGACTAATGTGCAGTACAGTCTACAATCAGGTAAAAGATTTCCCAAACTATATTTTGTCCTGTTCTGTTGCACAATAAAAACACCCATTCTCACTTTTAGGAAAATAATAGGACTGTTAAAACAGATAGTCAAAGATGTCCCTAGGATGGCCCAGGGTAGGGAGGATGAGGATGGCATTCAGAATAGTTAACTATCCCATTTTGAAGAGATTCGTAACAGTGGGGAGGATCATGAAGAGTTTTTTGAAGTTTGCTACTTGAATTCTGCATTGTGTCTAGTATATGCAATTGTTCTTTTTAACAATAGGTTAAGTGGGGTGCTAAGGCCAAGATAAAGACTATGGTTAAGGAAAGCTAGTAGCTTAGGTGTATTCGAGTTGGAACAACACTATTTGCCCATTACATTTCCCTTTAATAACCAAGTAATTTTAATCTGTTCTAGCCAGATATTTAACATTCAGAGGTTTATGATCATTTGTTTAAGGATGCTGATGTTGCCACTGTGTGAGATTAAGTCCCTGCAGATATAACTTGGTGTTTTAATATGTTTAATGGACTAGTTGGAAAACTACAGCTTACACAGTGATAAGATTTCAATTTATAAATTTTCTGAAGCCATTCTTTCCATTTATTTTCACAACACATCACCTAAATTTATTGAATTATGTTGTGTTCAACAGGTGTCTCATCATCCTCCAATATCTGCCTTCTATGTAAGCAACCGAAAAGATGGATTTTGCCTTAGTGGTAATATTTTGGCCAAATCCAAATTTTATGGTAAGCTCTTGCTAGCTTCCTTTTTATTTATTTTTCAGTTAGTCTGCTAATATTTATGCTTTTATTTTTGTACAGCAAATGTGCGTAGGAATGGAAGTTTGATTAATACCTACATGAAACTTAATTGAAAAAGCTTTCCCACTTCAAATGGTGGTGTATTCTTTTAAATATAATACTAGTATGTAGTATGATTTAATGTAATAAATATATATACTTTTGGGGACATGCTGCATTTTAAGGATGGGCACAGACCTAATTTTGTCATGGACTGGTCCGTTTGCCCAGCCCATGCATTTGTTGTTTTGATGGACTACCCACGGACCACAGGTTTTTTTAGGCGGTCTGTTTGGTCCATTGGAGCAGGCTGTGGGGAGTTCCAGATTGTGCCACCATTGCAATGTGACGCCAGTGAGCTCAAGAGGCATTTAAATGGACTTCACAAATCGGGAAAGTCCAGGGAAGTCCATGGTTCATGAAATTCACGAACCACAATCCTCCATGGTCCTCAATTTTTCTGGTCCATGCCCATCCCGACTCCATTCCATCCATCCATTTTGTTGTCTGTTAACAGGAAATTCTTTATCTGCCATTCTGGATGGTGAAGGTCGACTGATGTTCCTAAATAGAGGAGAGGAATATGTAATGACAATGCCATATGCACATTGTAAAGGTATTGTTGTTGTTTTCATTTACAAGTTACAAATATCATACAAAGCTGACTTCAAACCAGATTTTAGAATGACTCAAGCCATTTTCTAAGAACAGTTCAACCCACATTTCATTTGTGCATATTTTCTAACCCTCTCGATAGATACAGTGCCCTTGCCCTTCACATCGAATTAAGGTTTGGTTGGTGTATCCCACCTAATTGAACTCTCAAAAATCCATTGATAAAAATATGGTTCTATTGTACAAAGGCCATTTCCCTTATTCTGTGCTCTGTGTGTCTTCTAATACTGATTAATGGGATGTGTATGATTATTTAAACTTAATATGCTGAAAACCTTATACCCAATATAAATGTTTAACTTTGGTCAACAAAATCCAGCCCAATTGGTTTGTACCATTTCTAAAAGAGTCAGGTTTTGAATCTCCAACAGAAAGGGATTGTATAGATCTGGATACACTTGTGTTCACAATTTTTCTAAGAACTAGAATTAAGAACATAAGAAGAGCTCTGCTGGATTGGGTCCATCTGGTCTAGTCCATCTAGTCCAGCATTCTGTCTTACACAGTGGCCAGCCAAGCAGAGGTGGAGGCCTTCTTCCGATGCTGGTATTCAGGTGCTTACTGCCTCTGAATGTGGAGGTATGAGACAAGGGCCATTATGTATAATGTTGGATTCAGACTAAATTTTCTAATAGTAGAATGGAACTTTCCTGCCCTCCCCCAGCCCACTGATCTGCATGAAAGGCTGTTTCTGGAGGATAAGGGACCCTAAGGAATGACATGAGGAAGAATCTGTAGAAATTGCAGATTCAGTCTGGATCCAAACCAATACTTAGGTATAGCTGAAAATTTAATGTTTTTAATAACTGCAAGGAGAAAATAGTGGTAGAACAAATCAGTCATCAAAACATAGCTTCTTCTTGAGTAATATCTTCTACAAAGTACTTAACCCGCTTGGAGATCTGGAAAATCTCCACTGGCAGAAATCTGTGCTATCAGCAAGGCAGACCTTTGCCTCTTCTCCCCCCACCCCCTTACTATAGCCCTAAATGCTTTCTTGAAATGCTTCTCCTGGGGGACAGGGGAACCCCAAGAATAGCATGAGAGAGGAATAATGGGCATGCTGCAAGAGAGAGGACTCAGTGAAAATCGCCTCTGCCTCCCAATGGCAGGACTTTTTTTATTTAATCAATTTAAATATTTCTTTTCTTGTTGACATTGTAAACAAGTTCCTTGCTTTCCTGATCAGCATTAAAAACCCAGCTTTCTAAGTCTTCCTTGATTGCTTTCCTTTTTGTAAGATGTCATCTACTTGGAAAGAGAATTAGAAAAAAAAAAACCTCCCAAAACCCCCCCCCCCCCCCCGGCCCGGGTTATTAGTCTTACAACCATTTCAATCTTCTTTTAACAGCAGGCTTAAACTTTGGAATGTGATATTCAGTTATGTGTGGAAATCCAGTGGACCGAAATGCATATTCCAAAAATAAAAATAGTTCTGTTTGCTACAGGAATTCTGTATGGAACAATGACTTTAGAGCTTGGGGGAACAGTCAGCATTGCATGTGAAAAAACTGGGTACAGTGCTGCCCTTGAATTCAAACTAAAGGTGGGTAAGCTTGATTTTCTTAACCATTTTATTGTTAAGGGCATGGAGAATGAGCTAATTCGCGTTTGAAGCAGTCCTTATTAATATGACATTTTGTGTTTACATTGCTAAATGTAAGCCAGTCGTGAATAATAATTCCCATAGACAGTATACTCTCTTGCATACATAACCAGGTTCACAAAGATCTGAGCTGCAATCTATATGTCATAATGCAGCATTTCTCTTAGTAGCTGGAAAGGTCAGGGTCTTAAACATGATGTTTAAACAGAGGTAGCGTGATGCACAGCCAGTGTTGTCTCTACCCCAATCATCCACCTGACAGACTTAGCCCAAGTGGCTTCTGAATAGGATAAGCTCAGCACCTGTGAAGAAAACAGAGTTCTTTACCACACTTATCCTTCCCTCAGTAGCACCAGTTCTTCCAAAATACTGATAATGGAGGTTGTGGGACTCATGTGGACAACAAAGTCATGCGTTTAGAAGAGGGCAGGGCGCTGTTCCTGTTCGCAGTAGAGTATAGGATTCGCAATAATGGGTTTAAATTAAGGGCAGGAAAGTACCAGCTGGATATTAGGAAAAACTTTTTTCAGTAAAAGTTGTGCAACAGTGGAATCAGCTACCTAGTGAGCTCCCCCTCACTGGCAGTCTTTAACCAGCATCTAGACAAACACTTGTTACGGATACTCTAGGCTGATCCTGCATTGAGCAGGGGTTTGGACTAGATGACCTGTATGGCCCCTGCCTACTCTGTGATTCTATGATTCTATCTTGGTGCAGTCCTGAGCAGCCAGAACTATGGTGGCACTGTTCCTGTGCCAGTGCAGTTTCCACTGACAGAAGAGGGAAGGGAGGGTGATTTCATCTACTTCTCTTTCCTCATTGCAGCCCCCCAGAAGCCCCATGGTAACATCTAGCATCTGTGGTTTGGAGGTCTCAGGGGGCTTCTGAAGGAAGGGGAGGGTGGGAAAGAACCATGTCCTCATGTAAATGCAACAGGAAATGAAACCAGTTCATTTAAACCAAGGGCATGTTGTTATATTACTGTGGGGGAAATTCTAGATTACTAAATTTAATATTGTAGTAATTTATAGAAGCTTTTGCATGAAGTAATTCATTACTGGTCATGATGCCTTACTGTGTTTTGTGTTTCTTTTTTTCTTAGAAGTGGGTACCTCCAACATAACTTTTTTGTTGCACATTGTTTCTTTTCAGATACTTCTTGTGGAAGGGGCATGACTATATATGACAGGCATTGTATTTGAAAGAATTTAGAAAGACTTGACAGAAATATTTACAGTGACCCCTTCCATGGGAAGTATTTGGGAAAAACTCAATGTGAAATGAAAAAGGTATGCCGGCGGTAGTCTCATACACAGCTAAGTATTTTCTAACAAGTATCTGAATGCTGTGCATCTTTCTCAAACTTTTTAATCTCTCCTCTTTAATAGCCATTTTTAGGCAACAATGACAGTGTTAATCAAATACTGGGGAAAATTAAACTAGGCAAAGAAGTTTTGGCTACTCTAGAGGGCCATTGGGTAAGTACTGTATTTATAGTCGAACTAGTTGTCAAAGGTTTGATATGTCCTTGAGATTGATCTGTATTGTTATTTAGACAAACTATCAGTAACCATTGCACAGTCCCTCAGTGTCTACTTTGCTCACTCTTGGGACTTCTGTTTCCTAGTCCAATTAGATATTTTAATGTATGTTTCCAGGGACATGAACAAAATATAAATTAGCAGAGGTGACATAATTTTTCCAGGCTCACAGGATGTGCAGGGTATTCATCTTTGCCAGCTTCCTTATCCTGTTACATTCATATATAGTTCTGTATAAAGTGGAACTATGGAGTTGAGTCAGTTTGTTTAACCCAGAAATCATAATGACATAAAAATATCAAACAACTAATTACAAAAGGCAATGTTTAGATTTATATATTTTACAATCTACTTGCATACCCTGAGCAGCCTCCACAAACTATGGCATTGATTTTGGCAAATTAAGAAAACTTTGTCACAGAAAATAATCCCTACTGAATAATCAAAACTGACTAGACTGGAATTCATAGTTACAAGGCGTAGGAGCAAAGATCTTATCGTAGCACAACAGGTGGTATTGGCATGTTCCATAGAGGAGCTATTTCTGTGCTAGCCCTGCTTTCTTGTAAGATGTTGTCTTGTTCCCCGATACCAGGGGTCCCCACAAACACCTTTACTGGTGCCCACCAGGTGTTTCTAGAAAGTGGGCGGGGCCAGATAAGGCTTCTGCCAGTGAGGCTTCTGATTCACCCCTGGAGATTTGATTGGCTATGCAGATTTTTAAAAACATATTGCTTTGGCGGCAGCTGCTACCACAGCACAAGGATCTGAAGGTAGACCGTGGCAACTGTTTTGTGGCTGGCTGTATGCCCTGCAGCAGCTATTTTGTGGCTGCATCCATGTGTCAGGATTCCAAAGGTGCCCAGAGGCACAAAAAGGTTGGAGACCCCTGCCCTATACAGACATGGGTCATTATTATGAGACAAAACACATTTTAACCCAAATCCTGTTTCTTGGTTGGTTTTCACATTCTGTTAACATACGGGACTTTCATTACAAGGGAAAACAAACTGGTGCTTGAGTTAAGAGGATAGACAAGATATGTGAGAGAATTGCTTCAGTAGGATTCTTTCAGCAGAAGCTGGTCAAATAAGCATTGAAACAAGGAGGAATAGATCTAAAATTTATATTCAGTTTTTCTTCCACTCAGTTCAAAGTATCTTAATTCTTTCATAAAACCAGTGCTGGTCAATGGGAGTTCATTTGCAAGAAACAGTGTATGATTATGTTCCAAAGGAAATAGAAATAAATACCTTCTACAAGAAGAGTATTGCTGGAACAGTCTGAATCCATATGGTCTCACTTACTCGCAAATGATAAACGTACTCATCTTTGTCGTGGTCTCTGTACAGTCCCACACATGGGTTGGGTGCCTGTGCACGATCTCGATCGGAGAATATTCCAGAGCTTGCCTCAGGAGGCAGGCTCTCTTCCTGCCCTGGGGAGCAGGCATGGACTGTGCATGCCTGGAGTCGGGGAGAGAACCACCTCCCACTAAGTTCTTGTTTGACCGCCTTTGTGTTCGCACCTCAAAACGACCGCTCTTCGCATGCTCTTCGAATCGCCTCAGCTGAGTTTTTGTTCCTTTCTTCATTAACTTCTTCTCATCTTTGCTCCTTTCCTTTGTTCTTCTTCTAAAGTAAACCAGAGAGAGAGAGAGAGAGAGAGAGAGAGAGAGAGAGAGAGAGAGAGAGAAGTTCATTTTACTATTTTTCTTCACTTTCGTTCTTTCTCCCCCCCCCCTTCCCCTTCCCCTCCCCTTGGTTGGTAAGGTGTTTGCATGGGCTGCACCCTATTTTTTTTAAGTCGTGTCGCCATTGTCCTGCTAACTCCCATCTAACGACGGCCACAACCTTTGTTTAATTTATTTGGGGGAATTTCATCGGGTTGACTCGTGCCCTCATTGTGCCAAGTTCACTAGGTAGGCCCGTAGGAATAGGGCAGCCCACCTTCGGACAGTTCTTTTGGAAGCTGCATTGTGCCCTACAATGTCTTCAACGGTGTCTCGTGCTTCTTCTGCCCTTTAGAAGCCACCTTCTCAGAGAACGCTAAATCTTCAAAACAGAAACCTAAAAAGCGGGATGATAAACCCTCTTTGATGCCAATATCGAAGTTGTCAGAGTTGACTTCAGTTCTGAAACTCGATCCCATGATAATCTCTAGTCTCTCGACGTCGACTCCTGAGGTGGCCTCTATGGCCACCTCTGCTCAGAAGTCTAAACACCAGCCTTCGACTTTGCCGCCAGCTTTATCCTCTCCGGATTGCATTCTGCTTGGTCAAAACTCTAAGTCACCACCACGGAAGTCTACTTCTCACCATGGTTCTCCGAGGGCTGTTGCCCGTCACTCTACATCTCGTGACTCCCAGCTGCCTATCCACGTTTTGGATGACAGAGAGCACTTTATGAGAAGTCAATTCCGATCTCCTCGATCACGTTATGATCGCAGGGCATATGACTACCACAGATTGCTTTCCCAATCACAGTCTCTGTTTGATTACTCAAGGTCTTCCACTCCTCGCTGGGACCGCTATACATCATCGCGGGACACTGACCTCCGTCGTCACCACCCCCATCGACCCTGATGTGATTCTCATTGAGGACGACGGTCACCGTTCTGGTTCCCTTTCACCAACTAAAGGGCCCAAGGCTTATTTAGAGCTTGTCATTAGGACGGCCACAGCACTCCAAGTGCAGGGTTCTAACGCTACCCCTAAGGTAACCGATGTCGTTAATAGGCTGGTCCAGGCAGACTTGCCGCTGTCAACAATTCTACCTTAGCTGCCAGTACACCTTTCGGTGCTCAAAGAGCCATGGGACCATCCTGCTTCTGTACCTCCGATATCGAAGAAATATGACGCCATTTATAAAATCCAAGAGTCCTCAGGGAAATTCCTTTTCAATCATCCTTCACCAAATTCCATGATAATTCATTCTTCCTTAAAGTCTAAACAGCCGAGACAATCTGTTCCTCCTGATCATGAGGGCAGTAAGATTGATTCCATTGTGAAGAAAATCTACTCCGTGGCTGCCATGAACATTAGGATTGATACTTACCTATCCTACCTTTCCGCTTACGCTTTCAATGTGGCTACAGCTGTTCGTCCAGTTCTCGATTCCGTCCCAGACAAGTATAAAGTAAAGGTAAAGGTTCCCTTGCTCGAAAGCCAGTCGAATCCGACTCTCGGGTTGCGGTGCTCAACTCCGTTTCAAAGCCGAAGAGCCAGCGCTGTCCAAAAATGTTTCCGTGGTCATGTGGCTGGCATGACTAAACACCAAGGTGCACAGAACGCTGTTACCTTCCCACTGTATAGGACAAGTGTAGGCCCACTCTATCTGCTGGTCTTTCGGAGATTTGCTCGATTTCGAAACAACTAATCAACTCGGTATGGCACGCCATTACTTGTTCCTCCAAGGTCCTTACATCTTCCATTGCTCTTCGGCACCATGCCTGGTTTAGAAATATGTCTCTTCAAACCGATGTCAAGGTTAAGATTTAAGACTTGCCCTTTGATGACGAGGGTCTCTTTCACTCCAGCACAGATGAGACCCTGAAGGCTGTCAGTGATAGTAGAAAGAACGCTAGGAATTTAGAAGTTTCTACTTCCATGCCATGCTCTCAATACCGACAATGGAAAACCTACTGTAATAAACGTCAGCCTTCTCCTGCTGCCACCATGCAATGGAGGCAACGACCCTATGATTCTTGTCCACCTCCTCAAAAGCCAAGGCCCCAAGCACCCAAGAAGTCGCAACAACCCAAGCAGTCCGTTTGACCACCTGGATCGCCTGCCACTGCCGCTTTCTTTTATCCCTCCTGTTGGGACCCGACTCTTCCCCTTCCTTCCAACCTGGGAAGACATTACTACTGACACCAGGGTCAGTACAGGTCGGGTTCGCCATAGAGTTCATCTCGCTCCCAACCCTCCCTCACTTCATCATCACACCCCCGAATCCATCGCTTTGTCTAGAGGTCCTTATGCTCCTGAACAAGGGGGCCAGCGAGATCGTTCCAGAGGTGCAACCAACTCTCAGCTTCTACTCCAAGTATTTCCTCATCCCCAAAAGGGACGGCGGTTTGCGGGCTATCATGGACCTTCGGGATCTCAAACTCTTTGTCCTCTGCAAGAAGTTTCGGATGGTCACCTTCAGGGGTCTTGTTGTAGAAAAAGAGCTGCCGGAGCTCATTAGCATAACTCATTAGCATAACTTATTTGCATATGCCACGCCCCCTGACATCACCGGAAGTGACAGAAGGCCACACCCCCTGACATCACTGGAAGTGTGTCAGAAGGCCCGGCTACTTACCCTCCTGCTTCATCCTCATTCCCAAACGGAATGAGGATCGAAGCAGAGGGCGGGGTAAAGAAGGGGGCGGGGCTTCACCACGTGACCGCCCCGCCCCCTAGAGGTTCTCTTCCGGAGCTCCGTACCTGAGAGCTCCCCCCCGACTAGAGCCCTGGTCACCTTGCAATCTATCCTTCCTCTCCTCCCCAAGTCCAGATGGCTAGCGTCGATAGATCTCCAAGATGCCTATTTCCATGTCACCATCTGACCTCAACATCACAAATTTCTCTGCTTTGTCATCGGGGCCACCCACTACCAATACAGGGTCCTTCCCTTCGGCCTATGCACAGCCCCCAGGGTCTTCACGAAGATGATGGCTGTAGTTGTGGCAGCATTGCACCGAAGGGGGATTGCCCTTTACCCGTACATCGACGACTGGCTTCTTGTCGCCTCCACACAATCTCAATTACTCGTGGATGTTCATTCCACACTGGCCCTCCTACACTCCTTGGGACTCTGCATCAATCCCATGAAGTCTGCCCTTCATCCTGCTCAAACCTTACAATTTCTCAGAGCCTGTCTCAGTAACATGACCGAGATGGCCTTCCTCCTGGAATCGAGGGCCAAGGACATTGTGTCTCTAGTCTCGACTTTTCAGCGTTGCCCCCAACAGTCGGCTCGCTCAATCATGAGGCTCCTCGGTTACTTTGCATCCACAATGTTTGTGGTCCCTCATGCCAGACTATGGCTCCAGCTCTGGTTCATCCGCAACTTCAATCCTCAAGGGGGTCACTGGACCAAAATCCTTTCCATTCCACCACAGGTGCTCAACAGTCTGACCTGGTGGTCTCTTCCACATAATCTCCTCTCCGGCATGCCTTTTTGACATCCAGAGATCTGCCTATCGACAGAAGCCTCCCTTTGGGGTTGGGGAGCCAAATGCGGGACTCTGTCTGCCAAAGGAACTTGGACTTCTCAAGAGAGGACTCTCCATATCAACGCCTTGGAGCTCTGTGCTGTTCGTCTAGCCTTGGTTTTGTTCCGTCCTCTGCTGACCGGCAAGGTGGTTCAAGTCGCCTCAGACAACATTGCCACTGTCTTCTACATAAACAAGCAAGGTATGTGACACCGCCTTTGCTTGCCTTTGTCGTGTGGCTCTGCGCCTCTGGAATTGATGTCTTCGACATTCGATCTCCATATTGGCTATACACATTCCCGGTGTTCAGAATATCGACACCAATCGTCTGAGTCCTTCAGCTCCTCACAACGAGTGGTCTCTCCACCCTCAATTTCTTTGTCGTGTTTTCCTCGAGTTCGGTCACCCAACCATAGATGGCTTTGTGACTCCAGAGAATGCTCGATGCCCTCTCTTTTTCGCTCGAGGTACCCCATCTGCCAGATCCCTCATAGATGCCTTTCTCCACAGATGGACCAGGACCCTATTCTATTTTTATCCCCCTCATCTCCAGGGTTCTCCAGAAAATTGTAGTGGATGCCACCACCTGCATCCTCATCACTCCTTGGTGGCTGCACCAGCTATGGTTCCCTCACCGCCTGTGGTTGTCCAGGGGACAGTTTCTTCAACTCCCTCGTGTGTCGGATCTCCTCTCTCGAGACTGGGGCCAGATCCTCCACCCTGATCCAGGTTTTTTCAAACTCACGGCTTGGAAGATCTCCCAGTAGACTTCCCACTGGCTTAATGGTTGCTTAATGCCCGGAAACCATCCACCCGCAACACTTATCTATCGAAGTGGAAGCGTTTTCAAATCTATACCTTACACCACTCCTTTGATCTGACCCGAGCCTCCTTGCCAGATATTTTCTCTTACATCGTATCCTTGAAGGAATCTGGTCTTGCATACACTTCTCTGAAGGTGCACGTTGTGGCTATCTCGGCATATCGCCCTTCAGTTCAGGGATCTACGGTGTTCTCCCACTGCCTCACGAAGGCCTTTTTCAAAGGTCTCCTCCACCTCTGTCTGCCTCAGAAGCTGCTGGTGCCATCCTGGAGTCTGTCTCTAGTCCTCACCCACCTGATGTCTTAGCCATTTGAGCCCATGGCTTCGATAGACCTTCGACTTCTATCCTGGAAAACAGCATTCCTGATTGCTGTCACAATGGCTCGCCGGGTCAGAGAACTTGCTGCATTCCATGTAGATTCTCCATATGCTTTTTTTGCAAGAGGAGAAAGTTGTTCTCAGACCAGACCCATCCTTTCTCCCTAAAGTGGTTTCTGCCTTTCACCTGTCTCAGTCTTCTGTCCTACCCACTTTCTTTCCGAACCCGGCTGACGCTCCGCAAAGAGTCTTACACTGCCTCGACGTCTGGAGAGCTCTCTCTTTTTATCTTCACCGCATGCAACCCTTTAGAAAGTCTCAAAGGCTTTTTGTTGCATATGCCTCCCAGTGCAAGGGTGAGGCCATCTCTTCTCAGCGATTATCGAAGTGGGTGGCCTCAACCATAGCCCTTTGCTATGAGTTAGCACATCAACCCATACCTACCTCTGTCACCACTCACTCCACGGGGGCAGTCTTGACTTCGACTGCTTTCCTGTCTGGTGTCCCATTAGAAGATGTCTGTGCTGCTGCCACATGGTCCTCCACTTTGACCTTCGTGTCCCACTATGCACTGGACGTTTGAGCTCAACGGGATGCTGCTTTTGGCCAAGCGGTGCTAAAGTCTCTCTTCACCTGATTCTTCTACTTCTACAGGTAGGATCTGTACACTGAAACGGTAATGCTACATCCTAACCTATTTCTTATGTTTTTCAGCTGCCAGTTCCCACCTCCATCTGGTTCAGCTCGTTAATCACCCATGTGTGGGACTGCACAGAGACCACGACGAAGATAAACAGGTTGCTTACCTGTGACTGATGATCTTCGGGTGGTCATCTGTGCAATCCCACCCAGCCTTCCCCACTGCTGGGATCTCCTAATCACTTATCTTTGTTGATGGGACTTATCGGTAGCGGTCGAAGGAACTGAGTGGGAGGCAGCTCTCTCCCCGGCTCCAGGCATGCACAGTCTGTGCCTGCTCCCCAAGGCAGGAAGAGAGTCCGCCAAAAAGACTCCTGACTCTGGAACATTCTCCAATCGAGGTCATGCACAGGCGCCCAACCCATGTGTGGTACTGCGCAGATGACCACTCAAAGATCATCAGTTACAGGTAAGTAACCTGTTTTTCCTTGGTTCTCAGAAGTGTGCTTATATATAATATCTATGGACTTGCCTTTTCAGCAGTATAGGGGTGCTCTCACAGAACTGATTATGGCATACTATACAAAACACAATTCCTCTATGTGCAGTCTGGTCACCGTATGTCAAAAAGGACACTGCAGAGCTGGAAAAAGCACAGAAGACTGCAACCAAGATGACTAAAGGGTTGGAGAACCTTTCCTATGAGGAAAGGCTGAAGACTCTGGGACTTCTCAGTTTAGAAAAGACACAACTAAGAGTGGACATGATTGGCCACTGTGTGACAGAGTGTTGGACTGGATGGGCCTTTGGCCTGATCCAACATTGGCGTCTCTTATGTTCTAATGATAGAGGTTTATAAAATTATGTATAAGGTAAAGACAAAGAGAAATTTTTCTCCATCTCCCAAAATACTGGAACTTGAGGGCATGCAGTGAAACTGATGAGCAATAGATTCAGGATGGACAAAAAGAAATACTTCTTTTCAGAGAGAGTGATTAAAATGTGGAATTCTCTGCCAGAGGACGTAGTGATGACCACTGGCACGGGTAGCTTAAAAAAAAAGGATTAGATGGATTCATGGAGGATAGGTCTATCAGCAGCTACTAGCCATGGTGACTAAAGGGAACCTCGAGATTGAGAAGCAGGAAACCTCTGAATACCTGTATGGAGGCAACATCAGATGAAGGCCTCAGCTTCTATGCCCTGTTTTTGGCCCTCCAAAGTAACTGGTTAGCCTCTGTGTGAGACAGGATAATGGACTATATGGACCACTGTTTTAAATAGATTTAATGTTTCTTACAAATCTAAAGTCTGTAGAATGTATTGTAGTAGTTCTAGTAGTATATTGACCCACAAGTGGATGTCTGTGATCATGTTGCTGGGTCACCAGGTCATCATTAGTAGGGGAACAGGTTTTATTTCTATATGTTGGATCTGATTAGGAATCAGTGAGAAAGATCACATTCTATTAGTGGATCACCTAGCAGTAAGTTACAGAAACTACTATACTACACAATAGGTCAGAATCTGACTGACAGGGAATAGTTTCATACCCTTAAATGAAGTTGTTGATGCTGAAATTAGGAGATCTATTTTCAGCTGTGACTTTTAGCTGTCCTCACCCATGTGTGCCAAACCGGTATAACAAATGCCTTGGTTGCAAAAAGTGACTTTCAAAAGGACTCTTTGTTCACATTGACTTTAAGTTGTTTATTCTCTGGCTACTAAAGTAATCTAATACATTAAACTTTACAGGACAGTGAAGTTATTATTAGGGATAAAAAGACAGATGTTTCAGAGACATTCTGGAATCCAACACCTGAAATCAGACAGCACAGATTAAGAAGATACACAGTGAAGTTTGAGGAGCAAAGTGACTTTGAATCAGAGAAGTAAGTTCACTCTGAGCATGTGTTTTTCTGGTTTAATACACAGCAAAGGTAGACAACTGCAGGAATCTTATAAGCAAATGGTTGAAACAGAGAGGGTGGAGAGTGGGAATTAGGCTTTCATTTAGCCTGTAGGTATATGAAGAACATTCCAAGAAAATAACCAAATCGTGAATATGTAACTATAAATTTATTATATAAATTATTACTTCAAATCACTTAAAGAAAACTCTCAGGTACACCCACCAAAGTCACCTGCTAATTGAAGAAGTATAACTAATATTCTAGAAACTCATTAAGTCACTGAATAATATATCTTATGAACATTTAGTCATTATGTAATGATAAAAAGTAGAGACATCTCCCTGCCAACAAAAGTCCGCATGGTCAAAGCAATGGTATTCCCAGTAGTCATGTATGGCTGCGAGAGATGGACTATAAGGAAGGCCGAGCGCCAAAGAATAGATTCTTTTGAACTATGGTGCTGGAGAAGACTCTTGAGAGTCCCTTGGACTGCAAGAAGATCAAATCAGTCAAGCCTAAAATAAATCAACCCTGACTGTTCCCTGGAAGGCCAGATAATGAAACTGAAGCTCAAATACTTTGGTCACCAAATGAGAAGGGAGCACTCACTGGAGAAGACCCTGATGCTGGGAAAGATTGAAGGTCAAAGAAGACGGGGATGGCAAAGGATGAGATGGTTGGACAGTGTCATCGATGCAACGAACATGAAATTGAGCCAACTTCAGAGGACAGCGGAAGACAGGAGGGCCTGGCGGGAGCTGGTCCATGGGGTCGCGAAGAGTCGGACTCGACTGTGCAACTGAACAACAACAAAATGAAACAAAAAGGTCCCAGTATGTAGAATAGCAAACTTGCACTGTGTTTTTTTTAAAGACGTAGTCCGATTAGGGCTCATTGAATGGTGAATACTTAGCTTCACAGTTTTCAGTGCTCCATAGAGTGTTTGTTCAGTCTTCAGTCTGTGTAGCCTTCAGCTTGCAACTTTAACCTTCAGTCTGTAGCTTTAAGTTTCACCTGCACTGAGCTTCAGCTTAGCCTTAAAAACTTGCTGGCTCCCATATTCGTTTCACATTTGCTTCCTCAGAGATAAAATACTAATGTGTATTGTGTATTTAAGTACTAGCTATTGTCTGTGAGATTTCAGCAACTGAGTTGGGTTCCTGAGCTATGCTGAAAGTGACGTTTTGCTGACCTATGTAAAGTTGTTCTTTTTGTTGGAATGGTAAGATCCCTTAGTTATAGTAATGTTGTATATACATTATATGACGGTAAATATTGACACTATATGTTTGTGGCATTCGTATTCTATGGTCCCGGTCACACGGGCCGGATATTGCGGGGGGGGGGGAGGCGTGGCTAATTGCCCCGGCGCAGTTTGATCCTCGATTATGCGATCAGATGTGCCGACGGCACACCACTGGTCCTTCCCTTGGTGCCGGCGGGTAAACGAGGGACCGGAGGGGAATGCCACGTGCCGGCGCGATCACACCATGGGCGTCTGGAGGCAGCCTGTGGCAAACGTTTACTAGTACCTTGGAGGTACTAGTTTTTTAACTCGCATTGTCGGCGGTAAGCCACGGGTGCGCTCCACTTCCCAGATGTTGGGGTGTGATTGCACCCGGATAATCCGCCCACCATCCGTGCCTCTCCCGCGGCAACTTTGCCGTGTGACCGGGGCCTTCGTATGTTTGTGACATTAGTATTCTATCTCTGAGGAAGCAAATATGAAACGAATATGGGAGCCGGCAAGTTTGTAAGGCTAAGCTGAAGCTCAGTGCAGGTGAAACTTAAACCTACAGACTGAAGGCTAAAGCTGCAAGCTGAAGGCTACACAGGCTGAAGTCTGAACAAACACTCTGGAGCACTGAAAACTGTGAACTGTGAAGCTAAGTATTCACCATTCAATGAGCCCTAATCGGACTGTGTCTTAAAAATGCAAGTTTGCTATTCTATATACTGGGACCTTTTTGAACGAAATTGTTTAGGGACTTGATGAGAGTTTCTAGAATATTAGTTATAGTTCTTCAGTTAGCACTTAGGTGACTTTGGTGGATGCACTTGAGAGTTTTCTTTAAGTGATTTGAAGTAAAAAATTATATAATAAATGTATAATTATATATTTATGGTTTGGTTATGTTCACAGATTTTTTTTCATATATCTAGTCTTATATCTGTGTTTTCTTTCATTTAGCCTGTGCCAGAATGCAGGAATTGGAACAACTCCTTCCTATACATTGGGGAAAACATTCGTAATATAGGGAAATAATAGTAGAGAAAATGAAAATATTTTAAAAGTTAGCAGAATTCTTTAGTGTTAATACAACAGAAATCAATTTGCAATCTTCTGATCAAATTCTTTCCCCATTATGTTTATTCATTAGACTTTGGCAACATGTGACCCGTGCTATAAATAACAAAGACCAAGAAGAAGCAACGCAGGAGAAATGTGTTTTGGAGGAAGCTCAGAGAAAAGCTGCCAAAGAAAGGAAAAACCACGATGAAGAGTGGATATGCAGACTTTTTGAGCAAGATTCACTCACAGGAGAATGGAATTACAAATATGCAGAGTGAGTTGGGGAACTGACATTTTGTTTTTGCTTCTTGGGATAACAACAAATCAGTTTGAAAGAACTTGTTGCATTATGCTGAGGCTACAATCTGGCACAGACTTGGGAACACAGTGTTGGATTATGTGCATAAAACTTTTGTGTCATGTTTAATTCCACCTTATGAATCTTGACCTTTGCAAATAGAGGGCTTGATTCAGTTTTCAGCTTGTAATTAGTTCAGCATTTTTTAGGGGTAAGATGTTTCCAAATAGTTGGATTTGTTAATCTGTATTGCTGCCACTTTGCACATTATGACTAGGGGTGTGCAAGAAAAAAAAATGATGTTTTTAAAATTATTTGAGTATATTGGACCAAAAAAACCCCAGTATTTCCTGATATTCTTGAATCGCAATACTAGTACGGTATTCAGATTCAGTAAATATTCAGCAATCCCAATTTTTTTCGAGCCCATTGTGGACCATTAAAATCAATGCCAAATCTATCCTGGGGTATATTCAGTGGTCTAGGAGGGGGTCGGTAGCTCAGCGGACTGGTGGCCTGCGACTTGTAGGGCTCCACAAAGTACTTCCTCACCATTGTAGCCACCATGTCCTGTCTCATGTGCCTACTGCTCCCAGAGGGGCTGAGTATCCACCTGATGAGTGCTGCTGCAGTGATAGCCACAGGGGGAACGCTGCCAGGTGGGGGATGAACAGTAGCAGAGCTGCTTTCACCCCCCTCTTCCTCAGCTTGCACCAATGTGCCCCTCTTGGCCTGCGTGTGCTCAACTCACTGGGAGAGCTCATCTCTCCAGTGACTGAGGTCGTCGACCTGCTCAGCGATCTTGCTCTTGATGCATGGATCACACATTCACCAACATGTAGACCTTTTGTGTGAGAGGCTGAAGGCAGACCTCGAAACCATCTTGCAGCCTTTTCACCAGCACACACCTGTCAGTGTCTGCTTTTCGCACAGCAGATTGGTATCCTTAACACTGCGAGAGAAGTGACCCTTGGTGTGCAAGCACTTCTGGAGGAGATTCCTGAACTCAGAGTCCAGACTGGGATTCTCTGCAGAACCCAGCCCCAAGCCATCTTTAACCAAAAGGTGGCTGAAATGTTGTCTGCTGTGTGTACTGCGTCTAGTACCTCGGTGTGGAGCAGAGCATGGCAGTAGCTGGCCTGGTGACCCTCACCCTGCCGAACACTTAGTTTCTCCATCCACAACATTGCTGGGTGCACCACAACACCAGTGCACTGTCAACAACAGATATGTGTCATGCACCTGAGGGGAGGTCCAGATGTCAGACATGAAGCACACAATTATCTCACAAGCATGGGACAACTGTGCCTTCATGTTGCCCCTGGCAGCCCTGTACAATGACGGCAACATGGCCCTGCTCAGTGTTGTGTGAGCAGGGGGGGTGTACCAGGGATAGGCATTCTGAAGCAGCTTGCGGAAAGCAGCATCTTCAACCATGGAGAAGGGGCGGCCATCTACAGCAACTATTTCAGCAATCAGGTGAGTGACCCTCTTGTTTGCGTGCTGTTCCCCCTACTGAGCACCCTAGTGCCAACCTCATCAGGCATCTCTGTCAGAGATGCTTCACATCCCTTTACTACAATGGAATGTTCAGGGATAGCACTGGAGGTGGTCGCAGGACAACTCATCTCCTGGCTGGCTTACGGTGGCTGCTTGGGCACCCCAACAGCAGTCTCTACTTTGGTGGTATAGGGGCACCCATGCCGACCAGCAGCTGCAGGCACCCCTGGAGCGACTTCCTGTGAGGAGCTTGGGGCAGAACACACCATGTCTTGAGGGGACAAGAAGAGATGTCTGAGGGGGAAGGGGTTGAGATGGCCAAACCTTGGGGTGCACGTCCATCTCTTCCTCTTGCACTTCCAGTCTACGCTCCTGTTCCTCCTGTTGGACTTTCACGGAACCAGAGCAGGGGCATCCAGCCTTTCCTGTATCCTGGGGTGAACTTTAGAGCCAGAACACTCTCGTTTCCAAAGCTCAGCCCAAAAGACAGCTCAGGCAGCTTCTGCTGCTGCTGCTGAGCCTCAGCAACAACAGCTGGAGTAGGGGCTGCCTGAATAGCAGACCCCTGTCCAATGCAAGCACTTGTGGGCACCTCTGCAGGGGGCACCCCAGCAGCAGCCTCAATGAAGATGGCCTTGTGTAGCCTCTTTATTATACCACTTTGGCCAGAAATGGAGTGGTGGAAGGCAGCTGTGGAGGAGTCCTCCACACAGGTGGGGGGAAAGCCGCAGCCTCCCCCCTCCCCCCCAGTACTCTTCTCCTCAGCCTTGCCTCCAGGGCCCTGCTGCATTTCCTTCCTGCTGCTCATTGTTACCCCAGGCCAAACTCTTTCTCAGCAGTACTTGTGGGGAAGGTATTATGCCCCTAAGTACCTGCACTGCAACCTGAAACTAACAGAGTCTGACACCTTTTTATGAACCCTCCCACCCAAAAACTAGGCTTTTGTGTTTCAAAAGAGCTTAACCTACCCTTGCTTCAGTTTTTTTTTTCTTTTTTTGTTATTGGGTAGTGGTTGTATTTTAGTTTTCTTTAGAGCTAGTGGCTTCCTATACTGAAATCTGACTATGGTTTAATAAACTATCCTTGAGATGGAATAGCAAACCTTTTAAAAAGTTTAAGGCTCTTTGCTAAACTACTCCTGACTAGATTCTGTTGGAACAAGCCTGATTTCCTTTATGGAAATGCAGGTGCTTCCTCTTGAAAATTGATAAACTACAGGAAAATTTGTCTAAAAGTGCCCGCCTTCACTGAACCTCAGAGTGCTGCATGCGGCTTTTTAAAAAGTTAATCTGGGCTATTATACCACTGTTTTGAAGACACACATGACCTCTTTTAATATCCTCCTAGCACTGGCCTAATTAGAGAGGAGCTAAAGCCCTATGCTGAAATTTAATTAAAAGTGTTTAAAAGTTAATCAATGCCTAAAACAGAACCTCATTACTAAAAACCTATTTAGCAGCACCTAAGTATCGTACTCAATAACCCTTGCAACCAGAAGCACACACTTGGAAAACAGAACAGTGAACCTCAGCAACTCCGTCCCACAAAAAACCAACCTTCTAGAAAGTAAAGGGAAGAAATCCGGGGGGGGGGGGAGCTACTGGGGAAAAGGCAGGAAAACGGACTTAAGATAGAAGAAAAAGCAAGAAGAACTTAAACCAAAAGCTCCTCCACACTCACACCAGACCAAAAAAAGAAAAGGGGGAAGGGGGGAAAAGCAGAGGAAACAAGCAACAAAGCCTCACCCCCTACCCCCAAAAAAAGAGAAAAAGAAGGAGGAAAAGCAAAGGATGGTGTAGAGAGAGAAAATTCATGTAAAATAAGATTTCTAAAAAACCAAGCAGAACCCACACACACACACACACACACACACACACAAGCCCCCCCCAAAAGAACAAAAAATTAATAAGCTAACCAAGTTTTAAACCTACTCCAAAGAACCAAATATAAGAACTAAAGCAGAAGGAAAGGAACCCTTGGCCTCCCCACCTACCACCAGGGCCAAACAACAACAAAACTCCACAAAAATAACTGCAAGCCATACAACCAGAAGGAAGTAAAACCAAGGAATAAAACCAAAGGGAACAGAAAAATCTGAGGCTCTTAGCCTCAACCCCCCCCCCCAAACACACACAACCACCAGGCCCAAACTAATAACAAAAAACTCCAAACTGCAAGCCACAAAACCAGAAGGAACTAAAACCTAACTAAAGGGAACAAAAAAGGCCTGATGCCTTTGGCCTCAGCCACCCTCCCCCCCAACCTACCACTCACCAAGCCCAATGAACAACTAACAGTAAAATAATAGTTTTTTAAAAAATGTTGTTCAGTCAAACCAGTCGCTGTCTTCACTCTTTTCCAGGCAGGCAAGATCTGAGCCGAAGTCCACAGGAGAGTCTCTCAGGCAGCAGGAGTCAGGCTCAGAGCAGCAGCTGAAGCCAAAGCCGGCGCACACTCTCAAAACCTCTCTTGACAGTAGAGTCTAGCTCAGCCAGACCCTTGTCTTTATGCTCTTTGCCAATGCACAGAAGAATTTTTTAAAAAAACAAATTTTTGTGCTTGCCTAAAGAGCAGTGTTCCCCCTAACCTGAAATCCTATTTGTCAAATTGCCACTGCTCCTTTTCCTCTCCCACCTGTTCCCTGGTAAATGTGTGGTGTGAGGCAAATCACCGTTTCCTCCCAAGGGTTAATGTGGATACTAGTGGACCTATTCCAGTTATAAGTGTCTGTAATCAATCCATCTCATCCACAGGCTCTTATCTCCTTCAAGGCCAAAGCCAAGGAGGTAGCAGTTCTTCCCGAAAGCATGTGGTCTGTGAGGTGGGAGGGGGGGAGCAGGAGCGATTTTGCAATCTTCCAGAGAATTCCTGTGAATGTGAGCCCTCATTGGATCTGGGGTGTCATCTGATACCAGAGGGCCAAAGCATATAATTGAGCTAGAGATTAATGGAAGGGGGCCGCTGACTTGGTGATTTTATTGGACAGAGGCGTGGACTATGCTGGATCGTAGAAGGATGCCTAAGCCTCTGGTTTTGGACTCTGAAGTTCTGTGACTGTGCCATCTGTCAGGTATCAATGTGTTAGACAGAAGAGTCAGCATTTTTCTTGTTTTCTGCTATTTAATCACATAGACTGTGGTGCCTAATGGTATTTCTTCTTTTGTTATTAAATAAATATTTTCCTGTTCTTTTAAGAAAAGGTCTGTTTCTTGTGTGCATATAGCTTCAGGGACCCACAGGACTTAGCACTGCTGGCCTCAGGGGGACCCAGGTCAGGGTCTTGGTTGGTGGGGAAAGCAAGGTAGTTACTTAGTTGGACTTCACATTTGAAGCCAACAACTTTGCAGTTTGCAAACTTGCAATGGCCATTTGCAAAAGCATTGCAGTGATTGGCTTTAAGGCACTACAGCTCCCCCAAGGTGCTTTTGCCATTGGGCTGCAGAGATGTCTCTTCCCCCTCTAGTCTGTTGCCCTGG